ATATATATGCGAATTATATTCATGGAATTTAAAAAAAAATATAAAATGTTCGTTCTACTCGTTGATAGATATCCACCCACCCCACACACACATTTTCCAATGTATGATATTCTTTCCTTGTTTGACTTTCCCCAACTATGATTTATGTCAATATCATGGTTGTTAGTTTTTCCAATGAAACTCAAGAATGTTTAATAGGTCATACTTACAAATATTTCTAACTACTTCATTATTAATTTCCCATATGAATATTTAACAATTTCAAATAATTAGGGGGGGGGGTTGTAGGGGTAGGGGGTGCCTTTCTTTAATATATATTTTATACTTTTAATGATTGGCAGCTCCAACACGATTCTTGCCTCAGAAGAGGGATATTAACATATATATTCCCATTAGTTTTTAAGGGTTAGTTACAATAAATATTCCTATAATATGATTTAATTTTGGATATTCTCTATGTATTTTTACATCAGATATTTACACCCCTTATATGACTGAAAATCATTCAAACCCCAAAATTTTGGTATAAAAACAAACTCCCTCCTCAACTTTGAGAAATAATCATTTTCCCCCACTATCCTATGCAAAATCTGTTTTTACCTTTGTCATTTTTAATCCTCCATCTTTCTAACACTCTTTATATTATATAATATTATATTCTTATTTTTTAACCATTCTATGTATAGATTTTTATTTAAGTTCATTATAAGTAGAATACCCTTTTATAAGTTTAACCATTACTAATCCATTTCTTACACTCACAGGCTGTTCAATTATCTATCGCTTTATCATTATACTCCTTTCTTTCCATTTTATGTGACATAATTTTCTTTTTGGTTAGTCTAAAAAAAATGTCACATTTCCTTCTATAATAAGTATTTAAAGATACAATTCATTTTTTACCCTTGTTGGTCCCACTTAATTAAATTATACTACTCTAATATATTTATGAGGAAAGAGAAAAGTGAATTTACTTTTTTGAAAGGCTATTTGGTTAATATTTTAAAGTATTCTTTATTTCTTAAAGTCCGTGCTCGATCAAATGTTGCCACATAAAATGAGACAGAGAGAGTAATTTTTTTTTTGATTTTCCACACAATATCTGAAGTTCACATTAAAGCTTTGATTAGATCAGGATCGCACATTGCAAAGCCCATCCAAAGACATCCGATAAAATTAGAATGATACATAAAAGATCAGTGCGCAAAATGACACACACAAATCGGAAAAATCATCCTAGTACTTATTAGACATCCCATACATATCCACTACAATCCAACACAACTATATCACTTATTAACGACAATCATTTATCTACCACAAATTACACACGTACATAAAACTCAAATATAGGTTAAACAAGGGCCATTATAAAACTCCTCTCTAGCATATCCTAGTTACCATCCACTAAACAAGCGAATCATCCAAGAATGTATACACCATGATGGGGTTTCAATAAAATAGGCAATAATTAATCTTGGAGTGCAAAAAGTTACAAGTTGAGTTTGACATCTCAAACTCTATACAAGATCATATTAGTGAGCCCTTTAATTTAGTAGAGTGAATCTCAAATTGATATTGTGGGTGCTTATGCCTAGAGGGCAAAATAAAACACATTTTTTCTTAGCAAAGTCCGCAAGACAAAACAAATGATCCACTAATTCAAGGTCAGTGACCACTCTGTTTGAGTCACAACAGTAGCATTTTGGATTCATTGGGATCCCAAACCTCCCAATCCTTTGGTCTGTAAAAAACTTGTAATAAAAGACATCTTGAAAGGTATGTTTTGGTGCCACAGTCTACTGTCCGTGTTGTTTGGGATCCTTTCTTGTCTCAGCTCCCTCAATGCAGATCCCATAGTGAACTTTACCGTGTGTGAAAGTGTCCATATAGGCTTGTCCTCCTTGTTACAAAAGACAATAGGATTGTGTTGATTGGAGATGTCACACCACTTTTATTTTTTACGATTGTTGAGGATATGACGGGTTTTAGAAAAAAAAATATATTTTTATTTTTTTATAGAGTCGCCACTTGAAATTGAGTTTTTTTAGGTGTTCAAGTCACTAGATAATTGTTAGTTTAAATTAAAAAAAACTCTTTTTTTTGTTTTGGTCTACGAAAAATAGAGATTGAGTAAGGAATTCTATTGACCGGACAAAGGTATGAGGCAGCCCCGAGTCCTTTGGTTATAGCACGGTCGTTTTACTAACTTATAATTGATTAAAATAATTTATTTACTTATTTTGGATAAAAGGGAAAAATTGTATTAATTACTATTTTTTTAAAAAAATTGATTGGCCTAAGAGCGTAACCGCACACAACACCTTTTTTAAGAAAAGAATACACACCAAGGATCGTAACCGAACACATGATGGTATTTGAAGTTTTATTTTATTTTTTAAAGAAAAAACACAATAATTAATTATTCAATTTTTTATAAAAAATAATGATAAAAATGAATAGAAGAAAATGGTGCTAACATATAGAACAAGAAATGATTAGTATTTATTTATTTATTATTATTAAAAAATTTCTAGCATTTATATTTATTGTTTTACCAAAAGAAAAAAAAAATAGACAATTAAGTTTTACTACTAGACAATGACAACAAAAGAAGAAAAACAAAAAAAAACTATTACAAAATTACAATTAAACACTTTTTTAAACTAATGATATACTAGTTTTAATTTTTTTTTTATGTTGATAAAAATTTAAGAAATAACCAATTTGATAAAAAAAAATTTTTTATATAAAATGACACTCCTTGACTTATTTGATAGAAGATTGCAAAATAACAATTTTTCTAATTGTTAGATTATTAAGTCAAATTAGTCAAATTTGTATTTTTACTTTAATAGTCAATTCAAATATTTATTTAAGAGAATTTTATTTTTATTTTATTTTTTTGAAAAAAAACCATATTTACATACTTTTTTTTGGCAGAAATAACCAGATTTATATTTTTTGCAGAAATAACTGAATTTATATTTTTCTTTTGTTGCAAAAATGATCAGATTAAACCCTTTTGCAAAAATGACTAGTTTTACATTTTTATGTTTATTTTTTTCTTAAGTTCGTTTTTCAAAAAGAAAGTTATCAAAAACCTAAAAAATTGCGATTGTTATATTTTATTTATTTATTTTACTTTTTTTACTTACTAAAGCTAACATTTAAATTAAATATGATTAATAATATATATGTACATAATAATAAACAAAATCATATGAGAAATACTATAGAATAAAATAATAAAAATATACAAACTAAATAACATAAGGATAAATATAATCATACGAGAATCATAATAAACTTAGCATAAAAAATCAACAATTTTTCAAAAAAAAGAAAGAGCATAAACATTAATTCAAGATTACATTGAAATGTAAAAAGAAATACCTAGAGTTGATGACAAACAAATAATAGAAGCAAATTCAATTGAATTCTCAAGACAACTCAAGAGAAATATCTTCTTTTTTTTTTAAGAAGAAGAAATTTTTTTAAAAGTTTTTTTTTTCTTGCAATTTTCTTTCTATCTTTCTCTCTCTCTCTCTCTTTTAAAAAAATGGAAAAAGAAAGGGGTTTAAATAGGTGTTCAACATTAAACCTCCAATTTTTCTTGAAAACTTAATAGTCAATGCATGCATTGGACTCTTTATTTTCCCAAGGTAACACCCAAGATGGCTAATGATTTTTGTTTATTTTTATTTTAAGAAAAATCAGATTAATTGAATGATTCATTTGCTATTTTAGATGACCCATTTACTTTATTCATCAATCGAATATAGAGTTATATGGGTCATCAGAAAATAATAGGCTCAAATGTCATTTAGATGATCCATTTCTTTTATTCATTGTTTGAATAATAGTTAATGAGTCATCTGAAAATAAAATGCCCAAATGTCATGTAGACGACCCATTTCTTTTAGAAAAAAATTTCGAAATGTCAAAATATTTAACATTTAAGAGGGTTCATTAGCAACACTTTCAATATTTAATAAAAATGTCAAATTTTAGTTTGTTATGTATCTTATTTATGTTTTTATTATTTGTTTTTATTTAAAGAATATAATTATTTAATAACAAAAGGGAGAAAATCAAAGGAAAGAATATTTAAAAAAAAGGTAGGGATCCTTAATTTTCTCATCAGTTACATTTTCAAATAAAATTTAAATTTTGTTCTTTTTTTTCCAGAATTTTTTCTTTTTTAAAATTATATTCATTCCACAATATATTCTATTTATATTTATCATAGTTTTTTGTTAGTTTGTATTCATTTCAATAGGTATGCCGAATTTATCTATATAGTCATTTAAGAACTATATTTGTATTTTTATATTTTTTTTCCTATATTGTTATTTTTTTCTTTAAAAATCTTTTCTGTATTTTATTTTTATTTCTATTTATTCTAATTTTTATTTAGAATTTTGTATAATAATGTATAAAATACAAAAAATTAGTATGATGAAAAAGTGAATGAAATATAAAATTGAAAAGAAATAATTGAATATTTGGTGTACTCATTCTTAAATAAAATACATAACTAGTAGACATACCTTTAGAATAAATACAACTTAGAAAAAAATGTCAAATTCAGAAACAATGCAACACAATTTTTGAATGAATACAACTATTGATTGTAAAAATACATACAGACTAAAACAGTATCAAAATTCAATAAATACTTCTAAATTTATGAATACAAAAATAAATACTAACTGTGGTACATTGACATAACTATAAAAAAAAATAGAATACAAAATGAATTAAATATATGAAATACAATTCCAAATCTATGGATACAAAATACAATAAAATAATGAAATAAAAAAATACATACTGACTAAAACAACAACAAAATTCAATATACACTTCCAAATCTATGAATACAAAAAACATCAAAACTATAAAATATACACAATCAAACTCATATAATGTGTTACATTGACATAACTAACAAAAAAAAAAAAAAACAGAACAAAAAATACACTAAATATATGAAATACAAAAATAAGTACTAACTATAACATAATAAAAATTCCATATACACTTCCAAACACATTGTAACATGAATTTTTTTGAATTTCAAAAATTACTAAACAAATCAAACTAAACATGCAAGACACAAAACATGCAAAAAAAAAACCTCTTCTCCAACAAATTGGTCTTCTTCAACTTCATGGTTATGAATTTGTGTGGGATTTTGCACATCGACGGATTCAGGCATTTTCCCCATCTTATATCCTCCTTAGATTTAGAAGCGGAACCTACATTTTTTATTTCTTGAGTGAAAAAAATTAAATAATGGAAAACCGGAAGAACTTTGATTATTTTGTCCAATACCTCTAGTAATTCTCTTGAAAACGTCAATTGAAGAGAGAATTATGTAGTCTCAAACCCTAAAAAATGTTTTAAGAACAACAACAAAACAAAAAAAATTAAAAAAAAATTAAAATCAGTAAGTAAATAAATAAGAAATCTGAAAAACATAATACCCAAATCAATGTTAATTTTCAAATCAAATCTTGCAACGAAATTAAATGAGAATAATAGAAAATATTAATATATTGAATCGAAAATCTATGGAATTGATTTGGAAGAATGTTAGAGAGAGAAATTGAAAAGAATTGTAAAAAAAGAGAGAAAAATCTGCGGATTCGATTAGAAAGAAAGTAAGATAGAAAAATTGATAAGCTTAAGAAAAGAGAAAGAAAAAATAAAATGACATTAATATCTATTCAATTACATAAATATTGGAAAATGTGTAATCTATAAGAGAGAAAAAAAAGGTGTAAATAATGAGAGAAAAAATATTAATAATATCAGAATAATTATTTATTTTTAAAATAATGACATTTTTGACATGTTTACTAATATTATTAAAGTATAGATATTATCACTAAATAATTTTTTTTTGGACTAGTTAGTTAAATTTCTCTTTTTTATTCATTGTTTGAATAATAGCTGATGGGTCATCTAAAAAAAATCTAAAATAAGGCCAAATGTTGACCCATTTCATCAAGACCCAAACAAATTGACCCACTAACATAAAATCTAAACATCTAAACAATTTAAAAGATCAAACACAATAAAATAATGCAGAAAAAAGTAAAAAAAATAAAAAATAATAAACATAAATTGAATTTAAAAAAAACTAATAATACTTCAAGCAACATTAACATGATAAACTTAAAGAACATTAATAACACAAATCTGACATCAAACGACTTATATGGTCAAACGAAAAAAGATAATGATGAATTTGAATAAAGATTGAGATGGGGGGAAATTAACATGACTTCCGGGTAAATGAAGGTAGCAGGAAAACTTTACCGAAATTTTTTTGACGGATTTTGAACTTAAAATTTATATCAAATGATAGCCCTTGAAGAGCTCTACACATTTATGTAAAGGGTTTGGGATGGAAAATGACCGGAACTTTATAAATTTAAGGAAAAAAGTGAAAATTCATACTTAGTTTTCCCTTAGATCTACGGAGTTTGACTATAGATATGGATGAAACGATTGTAGATTTAGGTAGAGGAGGGTGAAAGGATGGTAAAATTTTAAAGATTTTTTCCGGCCAAAAAGGTGGTGGCGGCAGCGGTGGCCGGCCGACGGCATGGTAGTAAGGGGAGGAAGAAAAATAAAAAAAATGCTAATTTTTTGGATTTTTGTATTTTTTTTGGTCCAATAATAGCTCGTGGATCAAAATATTATGAATGATTGAGATTCAATCTTGACCATTTCTATTGACCGGGTCAAAATCAATTAGGCCATCAGAATTGATATAAATCAGCACAATTTAAATAAAATTGGGTCATTTGAGCCAATAAAATAATAAAAATAAAATTCCTTACTAAAATATTATAGGAGTAAAATAAACACGTTAAAAATTAGGTGTTCACAACATGCCCCTCTTTGCTTGGAAACATGAAGAGTTTTCAAGCAAAGAAAGTGAACGAAGTGGCTAATTTTTGACTTTTTCAAACTCCGATGAGTCCATTTTGTAAAAGATGACCGAATCTTGCTTCAGAGGTTGCCTACATATCCTTGATTAAAAGGAAATCAGATCAGTGTAGTTCGAGTAACTTTGATAACCGAAACTATCAGAAGCGTGGCCAAAAGATTGCTTCATATTGCTTGTCATCATCTACTGCCTATAGTTACAATGAAAAGAGTTAGAGAACTATGTATCTCTACTTATAAATGTTACAAGATCCCTAATTGATGTATCTTCTTAGGATCTTGTCTAGATCTTTCACTTGCTCCGTGCATTATCTTTGAGATCGATCTTCATGTTGTCTTGGCGGCTGGTGGGTCATTCTTAAGTGCATGTTTTAACTTGAGTTGGTTGTTGAAACTCAACACTCAAGATCATAAAATGAAGAACCCATGAAGAATATGTTTCCTTTATAAAAGAAGAAAACAAATGAGAATCTTGAACTAGAAAGTATAACCCTAGAATGAATAGGTTAAGTGAGGCATGTTACCCCGAGAGTTCCAAATAAGATGCATTGTCCTATGATTGGATGAATCCCCAAAATGCGAATAGGGTGTGTATAACCTATGAATGTTAGTGCGCATTGCTCCAAATATGCATATGGTGCGTATTGCCCATGAATAGAGAAATGATCTGGATTGCATGTGAATAAGGACTGCTGCGCACTACACATAAATTCAGATTGATGCGTATCGTACGAAATTCAGACTGGTGCGTATTGCACATGAACACAAGATGGTGCATATTGCCCATGAATAAAGGATGTGTGCTTGTTGCACGAAATTCAGATTGGTTCGTATTGCATGAAATTCAGACAGGTGCGTATTGCACATGAACAAAGGATGGTGCGTATTGCCCATGAATAAAGGATTGTGTGTCTATTGCACAAAATTCATATTGATGCATATTGCACATAATTTCCAATTGGTGCGTATTGCATAGAATTTAGACTGGTGAGTATTGCACATGAACACAGGATGATGCGTATTGCCCATGAATAAAGGATGTGTGCTTGTTGCACGGAATTCAAATTGGTTCGTATTGCACGAAATTCAGAGAGGTGCGTATTGCACATGAACAAAGGATGGTGCGTATTGCCCATGAATAAAGGACGTGCACGTATTGCATGTAATTCAGATTGGAGCATATTTCCCGAAACTCTCGCATTGATAGGAAAAAATGCGAGTAGCATGAGATGAAACACCAAACATTTGAAGACTTTGGAGATCTTTTTTTTTTTGTGATGTTTCCTTTTTGACTTGTAACCCTGCATTTCTTTTTTGTTTCTGTGTTGAGCAAATGTAAGAGAAAATTGTTAGTTTAAAGTGGTGGTTGGTTTGTGGCCTTGGTTCTCCAACGAATTGACCATACTCACGACCAATTTCTCTAACTCTAATCTAACTCCTTGGTTAAGCAACCTTTGAAGCTCCCTCTTTGTTATCAGGAGCCTTGATCTTTTGGTACTACCAACTATCATGGTGCGAGTGATGTCCCAAACAATGATGACCTTCATGAATTTTCAGTGAAGATTTTGTTTTTTAGTCCTTGCTTGATGGCTTGTCAACTCAGATACTCAACTTTACTTTTGGGAACCCATAGTAAGCTTTGCACTCTTTACTTTATTTTGTGAATAGAATATATCGAAAAGAGAAAAAAACAAATGTCAAACTCAAGAGTATCAAAGATTGGATCAAGAAGACTATAAACTTAATGAAGGATATTCCTTTGAAAATGAGAAAGAGAACTTATCTGGAGGCATATGTCGACTTTGATTGAACCATGACATGCACTTGGACTTGCCCCCTGATCCGTTTGAGTTTTTTAGTTCTCAAAATCTGAGTCATCGTCAATTGATCTATGTAACTTTTATGCAGAGGTGTCGAGAAATGATCATCTTTGCAGATTTTATTCATGATGTTCTCTCCCTTTATCTTAAGGTGACCGTTGGATTTTCACCTATAAGATTTTATTATTATTTTTTCGTCTCATGATGCCTATGAAAGTTTTCACCGATAAGACTCTCTAATTTTTTTTAGTTACTTATGGTACCCCCCAGGGTTTTCACCCATAAGTTTTTTTTCGATGTTGCCTTTGATGATTACTATCATTTTCAGATTTGATCAAAAAGTTGGTTGCCAGAATAAACAGAATTACAATTGACATTATTCTATATAAAAAAAAACTAAAACAATGCCCTAATTTCTGTAAATACTGGAAAACTTATTTTTTTATACGACCGAACCCCTAAAGGGTTGCCTACGTATCCTTTCGGAATCAGGTCAAACGTAGTTCAAAATTTTCAAAGAGAGATTTTTTTTTGAAGAGATGCCTTTGTTCTTTCAACCCCAAACTTGTCGCAGAACCTTAGAATGCATTAGATGTAGTATCTTTTGACAGAATCTGCATTAACAATTATGCCCATGTTTTTTCCTTCCACATCAGTAAGGTGCAGGGCTCCTCTGGACAATACTTCCTTGATAAGATATGGACCTTGCTACTTTGGGGCAAACTTTCCCTTGACTTCTTCTTCGTGCGGGAGAATGCGCTTTAAGACCAGTTGACCTTCTTCAAAGTGTCTTGGGTGCACCTTTTTGTTGTACGCACAAGCCATCCTTTGCTGATAAAGCTGACCAAAATAGACAACCGTCAATCGTTTCTTGTCTATTAATGCGAGTTTCTCTAGTCGGATTTTGACCCATTCAGTATCTTCAATTTCAGCCTTGACAATAATTTGAAGAGATGGAATTTCGACTTTCACTGGAATCACAACCTCAGTTTCATACACCAGCAAATAAGGAGTTGCAGCAATCGAGGTGCGCACTATTGTGCGAGATCCTAAAAGTGCAAAAGGCAGCTTTTCATGCCATTGTCTAGTTCCTTGAACCATCCTTCTGAGAATCTTTTTGATATTCTTGTTGGCTGCCTCCACAGCTCAGTTGGCTTTTGGTCGGTATGGAGTAGAATTGTGATGCACAATTTTGAACTGCTCGTATACCTCCTTCATCAGATTACTATTGAGGTTCGCAACATTATTTGTGATGATAGATCTTGGGATTACCAAATCGACAAATAATGTTTGAATGAAACAAATCCACGACCGCCTTCTTAGTGACTGCTTTGAAAGTTATCGCCTCCACCCATTTGGTGAAGTAATCAATTGCAACCAAAATGAATCAATGTCCATTAGAGGCTTTTGGCTCAATTGGTCCAATTACATCCATTTCCCATGCAACAAAGAGCCAAAGAGCAGCCATGGGGTGCAACCCTAAATGAGGTGAATGAATCAGATCACCATGGATTTGACGTTGATGACATTTTTTCACAAAGTGAAAGCAATCCCTTTCCATGGGAAGCCAATAATACCCCATCCGGAGTATCTTTTTTGTAAGGACATATCCGTTCATGTGTGGTCTACATACCCCAGCGTGCACTTCATTCATAATTTTCTCGGCTTCTTCAGCATCCACACATCTCAACAAATTCAGATTCGGAGTTCATTTATACAAAACATGCCTACTCAAAAAGAAACCATTAGCCAGACATCTAATAGTTCTTTTTTGGCTTTTGTTGGCATGTTCGGGCATCTCTCTGTCTTCAAAAAATTCTTGATGTCTGAGTTCCATGGCTCACTATCAGGTTCTTCTTCCACTGTATTACAATAGCCATGTTGGTCCTGAACTTGAATCTCTAATGGGGTGATGTAAGTGTTTCCAGGATAGGGAAGCATTGAGGCCAAAGTAGCCAAGGCATCGACCAAATCATTATGAAACCCGGGGATGTATCTAAACTCGATATACATGAACCTTTTGCTAAGATCTTCCACACATTGTGTATGGAAGGATCTTGAGGTCTCGAGTTTTTCATTCGCCTTGAGCTTGTCGGATAAGCAAATCAGAATCTCCCAACACAATTAATTCTTGCACACCCAAATCCATTGCCATATCTAGACCCATTATACAAGCTTCATACTCAGTCGTGTTATTTGTACAAAAGAAATGAAGTCGAGCTGTTGCAGGGTAATGTTGCCCTGTGGGCGATATTAAAATTGCCCAATCCCTGTGCCTTTTGTGTTGGTTGCTGCATCAAAGTACAATTGCTAGGCTTGATTTCCATTTGAACATACTTCCTCAATTGAGTCAATCTCTTCATCTGGAAAATATGTATCCAATGGTTTGTAATCATCATTGACTGGGTTTTCTGCCAAAGCTTGGGCTTTCATTGCAGTGCGAGTGACATATATAATGTCGAATTCAGTGAGCAAAATTTACCATTTTGCGAGTCTGCCAGTTGACATTGGCTTCTAAAAGATGTACTTTAAACGATCCATCCTTGATATGAGGTAAGTTGTGTAGGACAATAAGTAATACTTTAACTTTTGAGCTACCTAAGTTAGAACGCAACACGTTCTTTCCAAAGGGTGTACTTGACCTCATAACTAGTGAATTTCTTGCTCAAGTAGTAGATAGTATGCTCCTTCCTTCTTGTAGCATCATGTTGACCGAGAATATATCGAAAGGAATTATCTGTGACTGAAAGATATAGAAAGAGAGGTGTGTCAGGTTCAGGTGGTACCAACACGGGAGGGTTGGACAAATACTCCTTGATTTTATCAAAAGCTTGTTGACAATCTTCTGTCCATTTGACAGCAACATCCTTCTCCAGAAGTTTGAAAATGGGATCACATCTGGTTTATAGATGAGCAATAAACTTGCTGATGTAGTTCAACCTCCCAAGTAGACTCATTACTTCGTTCTTATTTTTCGGGGATGGCAAATCTCGAATGGATTTTATTTTGGAGGGATCCAATTCGATTCCCCTTCTATTGACAATAAAACCCACAAGTTTACCAAATGGAACTCTGAATGCACATTTTGCTGGATTAAGCTTGAGGTCATATCTTCGCACTCTTTCCAAGAATTTCTCAGATCTTGCACATGATCAACTTGTGTTTTAGACTTGATGATTACGTCGTAGACGTATACTTCAATTTTTTTATGCATCATATCATGGAACATGGTGGTCATAATCCTCATGTAAGTCGCCGCAACATTTTTAACACCAAATGGCATGACCCTGTAGCAATAAGTTCCCCATGGAGTGGTGAAAGCAATTTTCTCAGCGTCCTCTTCATCTATCAAGATTTGATGATACCCCGCATAACAGTCCACAAAAGATTGCATCTCGTGTTTTGCTCAATTATCAACTAGGATGTGGATATTTGGCAATGGAAAGTTGTCTTTTGGACTAGCCTTGTTCAAATCTTGATGGTCAACACAAACTTTTATCTTTCCATCCTTTTTCGGCACAGAAACAACATTTGCCAACCAAGTAGTGTAACGAATAACTTGGATCACCTTTGCATTCATTTGTTTCATTATTTATTCCTTGATTTTTTCACTCATGTCCAGTTTGAATTTCTTTCTTTTCTGTTGGACGGGTGGAAAATCAGGATAAATGGGCAACTTATGAACCACTAAATCAACACTCAAACCTGGCATGTCATCATAAGACCAAGCAAATACATCTTTGTATTCAAACAAAAGGTTGTATTATTGCCCTTCTAATTTTCTGATTTATCTATAAACTTATTTTTAGTTCCTTAACATCCTCAGAACTTCCCAAATTGATTGTCTCAGTTTCACTAAGATTAGACTTTGGTTTGTGCTCAATCTGTTCCAGTTCCCTATTAATTTTCCTAAAAGCCTCTTCTTCATCATATTCCACCTATTGACTTGGTGATTCAATAATAAACAACTCTTTGATATCAGGGACTGAATTCCGCATGCATGTCATGTTATCAAAGCCGACATTTATAGAACTGAAAAATAGAGAATGAGAATTAATTGGGGGGGGGGGGGGAGACAAAATTTACTATGAAACTGAAATTTCATTTCATTGACATCAAAAAGGGACAGAAGTGTTGACAATAACAAAATACTTTGAGCTATTCGGGCCACAACCCTGAGAATAACAAAATACAAAAGAGAACTAACTACCACGACTCCTTCCTTTTGAGAAAAGAGTGGCTTCCCAATTGTTTAAATCAACACCTGAGCCCACGAGCTACATATTGGCATGACTTGTACCTTCACCAACTTGGACCAAATTTACTTCACAAAACAACTGACTGAGATCCTTAATAACTTCTTCAATGTCTTCAAGAGTGAATGAATCTTTCAATTCTGGACCCTAAGGTTTGATAAAAGAATGAGAAATATTGGGAATCGGTTGTGGTAACGACCAATCAATACTTTTGTGGTTCTTATCTTTATCTCCATTTCTCTTGCTTTGTTTGTATCCAAGGGCACTAGTTCCTTGGTTTCCTAAGAGAGTAATGGGATCCACGATTCCTTGCGAATATACTCCCAAACCTTTACCGGATTGATAACCATATTTGAGTATCGTCGTTGCTACCATTAAAGCAGAAGAAGAGATACATGATTGGATGATAGATTCTCCTTCTTTAAAGCGATCGACTGATACAACCTCAAAAGACTGGTAAACAATATAATCACATCCTTTCTTTGCCTCAATGTATGGGACATATAAATATCTGTAAATAGGTGAATCATCTTCCCCATGAACAGTGATTTCCTGATTGTTGTATTCAAACTTGAAAACTTGATGTAGACTTGATGGGACGACTCGAGCCTTGTGGATCCATGGCCTCCCTAGTAGCAAATTATAAGATGTTTCCATATCCATTATTTGGAACACAATCATAAAGAATAATGGCCCAATTTTCATGTTTAACTTGATTTCACCAATGGTATCCCTCCTTGAGCCGTCATAAGCTTGCACATATACATTACTAGGGCGAATTCTGTCAATGTAAACTTTCAAGCTTTGCAGCGTAGAAAGAGGACATATGTCTACCCCTAACCCTCCATCTATCATGACCCTCTTTACATAGTAACCTTCACATGTCACTGTAAGATGCAAAGCTTTGTTGTGTCCAGCTCCCTCCTTGGGCAACTCATTATTAGTGAAAGTGATGGCATTTGACTCGAAGATGCACTTGGTCATATTCTCCAACTGATTTATTGTGGTCTCTTTTGA